CCGGGCCTCGGACCGGTACCGGTCCGTGAGTCGTTTGGTACCGGGCCGCGAGAGTTGAGGCTCAGGTGTGAAATGTATAGTTTTCAGGGTTTTTTTTAGGTACCAGTACTAGTTTTATTTTGTTGTATTTATCCGCGACACCTTAAAGGTGAAAATATCCATGAAAATATTGTCGGGCATAAACCGGTCTGTGGCGCAAAAAAGGTTGGGGACCGCTGATTTAGATAACAGATCATTTAAAATGTGTAAAACTCAACTGTATCTGTTTATATTCCAAGATACTCGTTTCACACATTTGGCTGAGAAAAACAGTTGATAAATATTTTTTATAATAGAAATGAAGCACAACATTTTTTCAATTGTGTGAAGTTCTCCCTATATGCAGCGGGTAAAATAAGTATTGAACACGACACCAATTTTCTAAATAAATATATTTCTAAAGGTGCTATTGAGATGAAATTCGGTAACAACCCATTCAATCCAAACATGCAAAGAAATTAAACCACAGGTGTTCAGAAATTATGTGTAATAAGGAGAAATAACACTGGGAAAAATTATTAAACATGCTTACTGACATATTTAATGCCTCGAAGACAATTCTCATGATTTTACTTTGAATAACACGATATCGATTTATTAAATCCTGAATTGATTTTTAAATATAAATGTATTTTGCCTGAAATGCCAGAATCTCAGGTTAAAGCTCACAAAACTATTTCAACAACCACCAAAGAGTTAAAACACCAAACTGTTAAAAAGCAGGTAAACTGATTCCACAAAAAGATGTAAACACAGAGCGCAGATCGGTCACTCGACAGTATGTACCTGTGCATGTCATCGGGTGCTGAAAGCCGATATCTCACAGACTGTGAAGCTGCAGGTTTCGTCACACCAAAATTCACTGAACAGGCAGCAAAAGAAGATCCAAACTACATTTCACATTAGAGAAACATCGTCATTAATTCCCTCTTACCTTTGCTGTTTTGCTCCCAGCACGATAAAAATCACACTTCCTGCACAGCTCTCTCTCTCAGTGTACTTAAAGACCAGTTTCCCATCTCAAGTATCAGCATTATTCGC